CACGTACAAATGGATATGCATAGTTACAAACACACACACATACACACACACACACGCACACATACACACACAAACAATTACAATTTGACAACAGAGTGACAGAAACAATGTGAGTCTTAGGACACAAAGAACAGTGACAGCACAGAAAAACGGCAGAGAGCACACACACACACACACACACATCAGTAACACGCACACACACATCTGTAAAACACACGCACTCACACACATCTGTAACACGCACACACATTTGTAACACACAATGTCATGCTGGTTCCCCGTCCTGGTTTGAAAAAACAACAAGCCCCCAAAATTCAAAAAGAGTTCAGCAGAGGCAAAACCTTTGATAGGAAGGAAGAGACAGTTTAGTACAAAAACAACAACAAAAGATAAATCAGGGTCTTGACAAAAGAAGAGGAGATAATGGAGGGCAGAGAAGTGTGTAATCTGTGTGTGTGTGTGGGTGTTGGTGTGTGTGTGTGTACATTTGTATTTATAAATATGTTGTGTGCATATGACAACCAGAGCACTCACCGGGATATGAAACAAAATAAAATGGATGCGTGTGTTAGATGGAAACGGGGAAAACCACGGTTAAAAACCTCCATGCAGGTGGCAGGATGAGAGGAAGAGCAGAGGACAACAGGAGAAGAAGAGAAAAGGAGCAGAAGGTCTGACTTTGCCTTGCTATGGTCCTTTTGAATACAAGCTTGGAGGCCAATATTTCAGCAAAACATTCCCATGTTTTAGCCAGAAACATTGTCATGACTACATGTCTTGTTTCATGGTAGTCACATTACCTTTGGCAACAAAAATTAACCCACAAAAATGTAACCTTTGCTCAGGTTACCAGTGATAGTGCACATTTGTCAATATGACCTTCGTAAGCTTTCTCCTACATGCATTCGAGTAACCACAGCAATAAATCTTTAAGCAACAAATCAGACCTTTGCAAATATGTTCTTTTCAAACAAAAGGAGATGAGGAACAGAGAAAATGGGGGGGGGAGGGGAATAGAAAGAGAGTGGAAAGGTGAGAATGCTGCTCACTTGGTTGTCGCCTGGGAGGCGGGGCATGGAAGCGGCCCTGCCATGGCCTTCCATTGGTGGAAAGTGCTCAGTATCCGAGTAACCATCCTGCCCCATCTCTCTCATCTCTACCGTCTGCAAACAGAGCAGGAGAGCAGGAGATGGTGTGACGGCTGCCATGAAAACTGACAGGGAGTAGGGGTATAGGTGGGAAAGTTGGTTATCCAAAGAAAGCAGAGAACTGAGGGTCTCAGAGAGGTAAAGGTAGTCAGTGGGAGAATTTAGTGAGTGTGTGTGTGAAGAGGGACCTTTTTTCCTTTGTTTGTTGTTTTAGTTTTTAAATTGTGCAATGGATGAAATAAAAATAAGAATTGAGTGTTAGGATCTCGCGTTGATAAGACTGATAAGTCTACTTAAATAAAAGTTTGTTTGCAAAGGCTGCTGTCAAAAATGGAGCTGCAAAGCAAATGCGGAGATTCTTTGTTTAACGGCATCTGTGCCAGGTGGAGGAGCTTGTGAGTCACAGCAGGAATGAATTTGAGGGTAAACCTATATGCAGCCCAGAGGACATGTGGAAAAACACAACTGAACGGATGATGTTGGCCAGGTACAGGCGCTGATAAACTGTAGGCACTAAATTAGGTTGTGTAAACACCACGACAACGTTGGCTGGCTAGTTTGCACACACTGCAGCTATCTAAATCCAGCACGTTGCACTTATATATTATATATATTTTTATTTGAAGTATACCTTTAGGAGTGGAGCTGAATCTGGCTGCTGGGGCCATTGGCTTGCCCTTTTCCTGCTTAGCCACACCTCCATTTAAGTTTGAATCATTAGCTTATGTGAAGTGCCAGTTGAAAAAATGCTTGCTGCTTATGGACTCAGTTTGTTATCTCATTACATACATACCAGTGTTTGCTTTAAAGGCATTTTTCGTCTAATATCACCTGTTGTTGTTTGTGCTTTATGATTCGCTTTTCCTTGTATGTAGCTAACTGTAGGTTATCATTCAAACTAGTTTGAATGAAGCCAACAGCCACTCTCTTCTATCCAACTACTGAGTTTAAACTTCTCCAGACCTCTGTTGACTGATATGGAGAAGGGGCTACGTTACAGGGCTGACTGATACAGAGACCCGTCAGGCCCTCCACGAGGTCTACAAGCAGAGAGGTTTAACAGCATGATGACAGAGACATGAACCACTCTGAAGACAGAGGCAAGATAGACTCTAAATGAAATGTGGAAAACGTATGGTGAAGGAAAAATTCAGTAAGATACAAAATTGTGTGAAAAGACAGGTCTGAGAGATGGAACTAATCAAAGAAAGTTTAACGTCATGTCAATGCTAACTGAAGAATCGAGGTCAGAGAGATCGCAGGAAATGAAAATGACCTACTGAGTAGAAATAATAAAGGCAACAAGGCAGTAAAGATGGGACAGTATGAGTTTTTCTATGTTGTGCCAAGGTGGCTTCAGATTTTACAGCACATGCAGTATTTAATGTTGTTTATTTTCACAACTACTGTGAAGAGTTCCATCAACCATAAGCATAAGAGACTATTGGACTGACTGGACTGGAATGGTATTTCTACTTTGACTTCAGTTATAATGAAGTGGAACACAAACCTGAGGTCCTTTAGTAGGGATTAGGAATAAGGTGGACAGTACTTTCAGTGCAGATGGAAACTGCATGAAGATCATAGTTTATTTCACCATTTAAGTGTCCTCGATGGTTCTTTGGGAGTTAATTTGGTAGCAATGACATGAAAGTAAAAACAAATGTTGAATGGATCCAGTGTTTGTTTGTTCGATAAAGATGTATTTTATTTGTATAGTGTGTGTGTTGTTGGGTGTGTGGTCCTGGGTGTGTGTGTATGAGCTTTCTACCTGAGAGTTGGTCATGCTTTCCAGGCCATCCTCAGGGTGTCCCTCAGGACTCCAGCTGCCGGCCTTCTGGGACATCTCCTGAGCACGAGCCGTCACCCACGAATGGCTCTCCGGGACCCCCCCCTCCACCGGCCTATGACACACACAGAAAAACGTCGCATCATAGACACACCTTCCTTAACTGGTCTGCTTTTAACAAACCACCGTCTCAAAAGTTCCTACAAAGAATCCAACTCACAGGCTGTTGACAGTCCCTGACGTCTCCGGTGGAGGGAGGGCGTTGTTAAGTCCCGGACCCCCATCCTGGGTGGGGGAAGGTGGCTCCACGCGCTGAAACAGTAATGGCGTTCGATTCTGTGTGAGATATACAACATGGCCGCCGCCAGCTATCAGGCAGACTGACAGGGAAATGGAGGGAAAACGGGCAGAGCAGGAACAGAGGGCATGTGGGGAGGGGGCTGTCGGCTGAAGCGAGGCGAGGCAAAAGAGGTAATGGATGAGGAACGAACGGGGGAGGGGGACTCGTGAGCAACTGATGCCTAGCAGGTAGCAGGAGAAAGAGATGGGTGGATTCAAAGTGCATTCTGGGACCTGACAACCCTGTGAGGTTGAGGATTCTAACCATTAGAGTGCTTTATAAGGTCCAATAAGGAAGTTCACCCACTCAGTCTAGAGCTTAAGGTCGTATCAAAGGAAATGATCAGTTGTCATTCTGAGTTTCATCTGATGATCGGGTGTCATCTGATGATGGATTTTAATACTGTAACATCGATTTCCAAATCGACATTTCCAAAAAAAAAAAGAAAAAAAGAATTCATTCTACAGGAATTGGGAACCGATAAAGACGGGAGCAATAAAAGAGGGGCCTCGTTCAAAGGAGGGATGGGGGACATCAAGGCAGGTAAACACTGCAACAATCCTGTGGAGGTGAACATACAGCAGGTGAAATGCATGACGGGACAAAATGCTACACCCATTGGCATTCATTTATTAGTCATCTACATATGAAGTTTCAACAGTACTACCCAATAACCACCTTTTTCAAAGAAGTCATCAACCTGTTAGTGAGAGTGCATGTCAAATGTTATCTTTCACAATCAAAAACTCCAATTTGCCTCCACATAGCGTCTATGTGTGCAAGCACTAAATACAATGTAAAGCGCTTTCAGATTGTTGTGTGATGGTATCTGCATTAATGCCATTTTTGGATCATAAAAACACTGCTGCCCCTGTCAAGACAGCAGCAGTCTACAGTGTGGCTGGTGGACTGGAGATGACATACAGTATGTGTTGGGGTAAAAAACGAATGAAAGAAGTGGAGTAAAGCAGGAATTAGACTTTGTACGTAGGGTCTGTGGGATGTAAATCATCAGTGTGTACGTGTAGTCTCTGAGCGGACATTCACGTGCCCCCAATTTGTTGTGACCGCATGGCTGCACAGTCATTACACTGTGGGAAACTCGTCCTCCAAGCGGACTCTAGAAAGTAGTATAAACAGAACTACTACACGGCTGTGTTTGCATCCATTTGGGAGTACATTTGAGCTTTAAGTAAAACAGTGGGTCAAGTATGGAGCCCTGCGTATGGCCAGAGGACTGTGAGGGAAGGTGGAAGGGGCACGAGAAAACAAGAAGACAATAAAGGAGGTTTTGTTGATGTTTGACACATTTAACACGGGCAATGAAAAATCAGGTTGATGACTGTCCTCAGAAGCATGCAGCTCGCCAAATGTTTATGGCCCGAGCCGGCTGCATAAACCTGTTAAGGACCATTACCTTCCAGTTCTGATATTATCTTATGATCTCAATCACCAAGATGAAATACAGCTAAATTAATGTGGAGGGTAGTCACTTCTTTTATTGGAAGCATTCTCTAACAAGGGACAGGGTGCTAACTGAAGGGTAGAGTGCAATATCATAATGCAAATCTAACAGTCCAAGGTTACAAGCATGGGTGGTGGGGAGTGAGGAGGTACAGTATCTTTATCGAGCTGAGCAAAAGGAGGCATTATGAGGGCTCCCATGATGTTCAGGCATAAGCGCCTGAGAGGCTGTGACAACCAAACCCAAGTCTAAACAGCTAAAGAACTGTAACACGTTGGTAGAAATCATCTACTAAATTAGCATTTGAAATTTTAAATGTTTCTTCTGCATCATATCAAGTGGCTGTCGGCTCCATTCAAAATAGATCGAATGATAATCTACAGTTAGTTACACACATTACTGTAAATGCAAGAATTAACACACTTTGTCCAGCAGATGGCAGCACTGTTTTTGCTGTTAGAGAAGAAGCATTATATATAGTAGATAGGAGGCCGCATTAGATTGTGAAGTTATTGTGCTCATCCCCATACAAACCTCTTTCAGGTGGAACTGAATGAGGACTCCTTAGATCTAGACAGAGGTTGTCACAGCCCAGGCTTACATGACCGGGACTACAGCCCTGCAACCTTGATTTCAGTACGTCAGTCTGCCTTTAACTTTAAAAGGGTCGGATGCAGAAAGAGGGTTTTTTTTCCTTGAGACACCAGTACCTGCTCATCACGAAGAGCCTGCGAGCGCTTGATCTTGCTCTGCCGGTAGTACTCCATGATCATCATGGCAGCGTAAATTTTCCCCACTGTCAGGTCTGTAGCTGCTGAGAGAATGACAAGTTACCCTGCGAGATTAGACCTTTTGGAATGGACCCTGAGCGCGAGGAATGGCAGAAAGGGGTGAGGCATGCACACAAACATAGAAACACACTTGGGACACTCACACACATATGAACACTTAGCAAATAGTCTTTTCACAGACGGATTGATTATTTTTTTTTTTAAACTGTATTTTACTTAATTACTTACTTATATACCGTTATATTTATATCGCATTTATATTTGTCACAGGTAAAATCTTGTAATCAAAGCATCTCACAAACAAATTCAGCCGCTCCTCTGCAATCGTGTGATCGCAATAATCAACACAAATTTAACCAAGTCATTAAATAATAACACAAAATACATGGAATAAAATCCGTAATATCTTTGGTTGCAAATGTAATGTTAAATACATAATACATTTCAGCTCCTAGCTATTTTGATAGCAAATCTCATGCATTGTAAACAATCTAAAGCAACTACTGTATTATGCAACTAGTGCATAAGCACCTGTGCATGTGTTCTCAGTTTATTAACACTCAGAATGTACAGTATTTTTTTTTTTTTATCAAGCACAGCCAGCCATCTAGTGTATGCAGCTGACAGCCCCTGAAGTGAAAAGACGTCTATAGAGGATTGATCTATAGTGAGGCACCCTCTGATCTCAGGCACAGAGAGGTGGAGAAGTGTTGGGGTCTGTGACTGGTGGTGGGTCTATTCTGGTGAGTGTGGTTTGAGTTTTGTGTGTGTGTGTGTGTAGTTGTTTTGCATCTACCATGTGGCCTGTGCCTTGTCAGAGCCTCTATTTGTTTTTTTCTTCATGTTCACATAAGTATGTCTTCATATATGTGATGTATGTGGATGTGTGGGGTAAGGTGCCAACTGTATCAGAGGGTGCAGCAGTGAGAGAGACTGGCTGAGAGAAGCGGTCCTTCAGGTGGCGTGAAGAGAAACAACGTTGGAGCACTGGGCGGCACACGGTGGCTGCATCCAAGCCACATTGCTGCGCCTGCACCCACACTCTGCAACTTACACTTGTGCGGTGTAACCAGCAAATCCAGAGTCTTCTGTGAGAGATTGGGCCAGATTGCCATCATCTCTTTCCTCAGCTCCGCGTCCATCTGGTGCTTGTCAACACCACCTAGGCAGGTTCAACGAACACACACATGCACACCCATACCGATACACACGCATATATAGAGATACATGTCCAAGAACATGGACACGCAAAAATTCAGACACACCAAAGTGCACACGCAGAAATGTGCATAAAAAAGGGTTTACGCATACACACACAAGTGGACACAAACCATTCACACCCGTTCAGATTGATATAAAAAGGTATAATAGAGGACATACAAACAAGAAAACAAGGACAAACAGAAGAGAAGTTATTAGAAAGGTCAGGATAATAGCTGGGATCAAATCATAACTGCACGGAAAACTGTACACAGGCAATTCAGTTTTTAAGCTGAAGTGACAAAACCTCGATTCCACAGGATCTCAACCTTCAGCTTCACACGCTACACACAGGATCTACTTCCATAGAGAGCACACTGTACTTAAGCAACAGTAGGAGAAGCATCAGGGAGAGCTGAAGGTTTCTGGGTTCAGCACAGTAATAGACAGCACTGCACTAAGGGGGAAATGAGAAAAAGGAGAAGAAAATGTGTGAAAATCGGATCAGAGGAGGTAAGAGAGATTCCAAACCTTCCGCACCCTTGGCGATCTTGATGTCCAGTGCTGTGCGGATTAAGGCCATGAGAGTGGAGTTGAAGTGGACCGTGTTGTCATCGGCCACAGGCAGATCCATACGGAGCAGTCTCTGTGGGGGGGCCAATCAGGATGAGCAGTGAGATAACCGGGAAGTAAGTGCGGTGGCATGTATGTGGAACCTCCGTCTTTTACTTTATTTTGGTGTTTTTTCTTCCTTTCTCCCCCCTTTCTTCCCTCCCCGACCTACTGAAAAAATCCTCCTCTCCTCCCCTTTTCAACTCATCACCAAACCAGGAGAATTTATTCCAAAACAATCTCACTCACCCACAACAATGGCATTATGTTCCCCACACGCGGAAACACTGTTCCCATCCCCTACACACCTCCACATGCCTTCCCGCGCCGGCCATATTATTTTGACGAGAGCGTTTTAGTTAACCGGGTGGTGGCCACTGGCCTGATGTTGCAGTGGCAAATCAAAGTTGTCAGGCGATAAGTGTTAAGTAGACATGCTGGGCAGCAGTAGTATTGATGAGCATCGCATAGGCCTCAGGGAAGGGGTGTCAGCACGGGTGGCCTACAAGGTCAGAAGACCGCAAATCTTCACCCCCGAGTCTCCTGTGGGT